CTTTTGACGTGACAGCAAAGTCAACACCAACAAAGGATAGCAAACAAGTGGCATCAGCCAGCAAGCAAAAAACTAACACAACAAGCTGGGTAGGGCAAAGTCATGAAACGAGACTGCAGTAATGAAATAACACTGTTGATGGACAAAATCCTGCACCACTTTGCGCACAGTTTTCTTGCTGCCCTCGTTCTCTCTCGTTAACATTGGGGCCAGCCCAGTGAGAAAATTAAAACAAGTTGAAGGTCCAAAATCCTGCACCACCTCCTCAGAGGGGTCGCGCCAATATTGAATGAGGGGGCGCGGAGGTTGCTATGTGACCCTTCCAGGGTAAAGTGGTGAGGCGATCCAGGATTTCGTCCATCAACAGTAGGTTGGAGGCCATCGCTCTCAGGTTGGAGGTCATGCCTATTAGGGTGGAGGCCATCACTAATAGTATCTCATTAGACCGTATACCTTTGAACTATTGGCCGTTTGGAGGGTAGACTCGTCGACTTGTCTTCCACTCCGCCACTCGCTCGTCTTCCACTCTCGTGGTGTCCGCGCAGGGGTCTTTAAGATTCTAGCCCAAAACCCGAGATCGAAGGCGAAGGAAGACCGCAAGAACTTTCAACATGTCCAAAAGCCAAGCACATGCACATTAAGAAACAATAAACGCACATAAAAAAAGGAAACATCACAGTGCTTTTGCTTTGTGGCCAAGCATCAAATAGAAAAACGTATAAAAGGCGACATGCACCGGGGGCTGAAAATCCCAGGTCGTTGACCTAGAAAAGTCGTCCGACGAGTTTGCCATGTTCACCCAAAAATTTGATTTGAACAATACCATGGGATAAATACATATATATATAACTATATGGATGTCTACATATATAGATTGATATACTATGGATATACTGTGATTATGCAATATTATGTATATAATACTTTATTATACATGCATATATATAATGATATGTATATGTGTCTAGATATAACTGATAATAATTGACTTAATAATTGTGTCTATGTTAATTATGCATATACCAGGTACCATCCCACTTGTTCTTTGGCAGCCAGCCGACTCAAGGCAGAAACCTTGGCAGTCCCAACAGAGCTTGCCCTATGTGTGACCAGAAAAAAATTGGTGGCCCAAAGAAGAAAGCCGGAACAAGAACGACATAGTGCCCAGTTGCCACGTCGGAAACAACGGCTCATAATGTGAGATTTGAGTCCAGCACAGCATCATCAAAAAAAAATGCAAGGTGATCCTTGCTGTATCGTGCCTCAGATTTCATGATACAAGCTTGAGGAACTCAGTAGATAAGTGATATCTGAAGTCCATGTAGGGAATGGCCTTTTCGCTGTTCAAGAAATCCCAGGGGGTGATGGTTGGCGAGCTAGCAGCTACTGTAGCCAGGGGATGAGCTATTCCAGAGCAGCAAATTCAAGGCATGCCCGTCTCTGAATGCACCCAACGCTTCAATGCCTTGTATTCATGCAGGTGCTATTCCTTTCACCTTGAACTGTTTCACTAACGGATCCGCTTTATTTTGCAAACACTAATTGGCCATCTTACGTCTATCAATTCTCCAGACGTGGTGATTGTTCTTTTGTTCTATCTTCCGCCTGTCCTTTACTTGACTCACTTTGGGATGCCCTGTATTTCTTGTTCGGCCCGCACACGAACCCATGGGCGAAGGGAACCGCTTAAGGGAACCGCTTCAGGGAACCGAACTGAACGGTGTGCGGCGAGGAGGCTGAATGTTCAAGCTGAGCACGCAAAGCAAGCACCCCAGAAAGGTGGTCGGCTTGCTATAGTGCAGATTGTAAAGACTCCCCAGCAAGCCCAGGAACGCTCCCAAGAAGCTTGCGAGGAGCATCAAGCGCATGGATGAGAGGATTTGTGGAAGGTTGGAGGGCTTGGCGATTAAGATCCTGTACCAGTCGGCCATTGGCACGTTTGGACGCATCGTCTTCCCTGTGCGGGAGGTTTCGATTAATGTCCGGGAAATCACCTCTCAGTTCAACCAAAGAAGGAGCTATATACATGTTATACATTATATATATGTACCTGAAGCATCCTTTGTAGCACTTATTTCTGGCGAACCATGGTTTGGAGCACTTTTTGGAAGTTTGAGCGTTAATTGAGGGTATGTACACTTTTCAGGACATATGAGCGCTTTTTGGTGATGTAAATTCTAAAGCCTACTGGTTCCTGACCAGTGTCCTTATCAACCCTTGTGGGCCTTTGGCGGCCCTATGGACCGGGTGGAAATCCTATATGACCTCCTACTAGTAGTATGTGCAAATGAAACCACAAAGGTTTGGTTCCAACCTTCTGGGCGTGCTTTACAACAATTTTTCCAAAAAGGGTGCCCGCAACTTGGGCGCAAATTCCCGCAACCCGGGCGCAAATTCCCGCAACCCGGGCGCAATTTTAAAAAGTGGCGGATTGTTATTTTACTTACTGTAAATATTTTATGTTGATACTGATGATCAAAGAAAGGGGTTGCTGGCTGCCGCTTCGTAGTGTGTGAGCGTGTGTTGTGTGTGCATGGGATGGGTGCCAGCATGTGGCAGGGGAATGGACTTGAAGACCACATAAGGTGGAATGAAGCTACATCTGACTTTCCAGTGGTACGCTTTTTCAAGGCATGAACACTTTTTTTGATGATGTGCAGTTTTTTTTTTCTGTCACTTTTTTCTGCTACGACGGAGGGTTCAGGTATATATATTTAACACATTAACAAACGTCATTGAATTCCGAACACTCACAACCAAACTTTGGTCTGCCACATTGACTAATTGTAAAGTGCGTGTTGATGCGATGTCTCCAAACATTGAAGCTCGGGAAGTGGAGGGCCGTGGATCCTCTATCAGCTAAAGGCATCGAACTGAAAACAATCACCACACCCATCCTCTTCCCTTCTTCATGAGCAAGGTAAGCTTTATAGGCACACCAAAGTCTCGTGTAGACGCTTTGGTGACGATTGGGCACCACTAAGACAATCTCGGAGGCTTTCAAAGCCACTGCGAAAGGTGACGTGCTCGGTGAAGTCAAGAAGGAAGCCTTGGATGGCCAGTTGACCACCGAAGCCAAATGCATAGAATAGATAGCGTCCTTGCTCCATTCGTAGCGATGCCATTTGCTCCTAGTAGCTTCTTGTTTCTAGTAGTAATGCCAGGAACCCGACACGGTCAACCTGAGAAGTTTAGGGCTCCGGGTTTTGATGCACCACCGTATTGTTCTGTTTGTCGAAGAAGCAACAAGACAAATCAACAGACTGCATAATCCTACTAACTGCATTCGCAGCTCGTTTAGGTTTAGGTGAAACAATCAAGTGGCACCAAAGCGCATCCATTTGACCAAGTTGCAAGGTTGAGATTCTGGGGGTTCGCCAACATGCAACACCATGCGTGCACAGCCCCACGTGGCCAGGAATGACGGACCTTGGCCAGAAACTCAAAGACCCCTTCCTGCCAAGCATGGCTGATGAAGAGATCACACTCCAAACCTCAGATGCAAAACATTTGGGGACGATGAAGGTGAAAGCTCTATGTAAAGAGGTCCTACACAAGTTGGCAGGCTTGATGGACTTCATATCTGCAAAATGAAAGCTTTGAGCAACTGAGCTGAAACACCCTCTGGGTTCCTCATCAAGGCCCAACTCATTTTGCCAGCCTTTTCAGTGATGGGCTTGATATATTGCTCATTCACTGTGTAAATGCTGGGCCCGTAGCCCTGGTCCATGGTCAAAGTCCAGTCGTCGTGCCCATCATGGGGTGGCCAAATCTCTTGCCGCTGGATAGCACGGCCCAGGTCCTCCAACCGCCCCGCGGCCCGCCCCTTTCGTCCCTGCGCGTTTTCGGCCCTTTCACCTTTTTGGGTGCGGACGATGCAGTGCCAAATTTCCAGGTGAAGCTCCAGGGGGAAATGAATTGTGGTCCGGTCAATTCTATATTATGCTCAGCTGAACTAGTGATTTGGGGTGGTTTCGGTCAGAAACTCCGATCCCCGAGTTCACGCCTCCATCGGTCCGGACAGCCGCAGGTTCCGGACACCGACCGGTTGGGTCCTTCTGTAAGAAGAGCAGGTCATGCAGGGTGACGCACCATCGATCGGGTGGAACAGCCTCTGAAAGAGGGAGGGCTGTTCAGAGCAGAACACTGAACTGAACAGAAAGCTTGTGAAGTGGGCTTGTCGTTTTTTTGGGGGGGTCCGGAGATGAACAGAAACAAATCAGCGGAGGTTGAGTATGCTCTCCCCGTCCCAACCCCCAAAGCAGGTGAGGCCAACGGCACGCTCTTCAACGGCCTCGTGCAAGGCGTAGGCATTCAGCGAGATGGAATGCTCTGCCGCGGAGGGTGAAGACATGGGGGAAGTAATCGACCGGTGAGGATGCCTGGAGGTGGAGAACATATTTATGGACGTGACACCACTGAGATCTCCTCTGGGTAACTGGCGCCCTTCTGGCTGATGTCAAGTCCATGAAACGACGGATCCTTTTGAAGGAGATGTTAGTTTGGAAGATTTCAGTTCTTGTGGTCCGGCTCTGCAGTGATATCAGCAAGGCCCAAATGTCTGCGGGTGACCATGTACTCCAGCGCCGGTTTCACAGCGCCGTCCTCTTCACTTCCGAAGGCGCCCGGTTCCCGTGGCTCTTTGAGGAGTTCCTGACCTGTGAAATGGGTGGACCCAGAATCAGCCCACTCTTGGGCTGATGACCTGGGCACCGGAATATGGCCTCGTGCAGGGGCCGAGGTCTCGTCCATGGAGAGTTGCCATGACCCCGAAAGGAAGAGGACTTTCCGAAGACCAAACAGCAAATGAGGTGCTTTTCCAGGAGCCCTGTTCGGTCATCGGAGTGTGGCCCTTTTTTGAAGCTCCTTGAAGGTAATAAGATAACCAGATAACCTATAAGCAAAAGGAGCCTTAATCGCAATGGCCTCCACCGTAGTAAGCAACGCTTTGGCCAACGGTTCGTGCCGTACGGACCGAACGGACCGAACCGTACAGGGTCCTTCTCCGTCATCTTCCGCTTGGGCTTTCCGGCCTCGCACTTCTATGACTTGAGAGATACTTGGATACTGCTCTGTCTGACCCAAATGACTGTCTGACCATGTCTGACTGTCTGATCATCATATCTGCTTCTGAAAATCCTTCTGACCCTGGGCTTTCAAGAAATTGTGACTGAAGACCAGGAAGTACTGATGAATCCTTACATAATAAGTACTTGTTTTGAAGACTGATGTGCAAACAGTCTTAGTGACATGTAATTCCGCGTCGTTTTGCGACTCTCTTGTTCGCTTGAACTTTTTGTGTGGCAGCCATGAGCAAGACTGACTTTCCTAATCAAATATGGTCAGCCCTTCTTACAGCAGCATTCCCACACTTCAGGTCCAAGGTTATGCAGGTGATGCTCAGAAAGTCTAGGAGGGTCCAACAAAGAAAAGACGTCAGACGACATCATGTTCCTTTTGTTTAATGATGCATCCACGGACCTCGGGTCCGTAGAAAGCATCTTGCAAACAGGGACAAGTTCGTCCTGGTTCCTTGCCCAAAGAAATTGCCCAAAACGAAGGACTTTCCTAGGAAATTGGATGTGCCAGTGTCATGTGATGTCATGTGATCTCATTTCAGGCATGAGGCATGTTCGGACATCCAGTCCTTGTGACGAACTGGCGGCCACCGGTTTACAAACACATGCTTTTCGCCCGCGCAGCCGCGCAGAAAACCACATCTCCAGCGGCACCCTTTTTTCGCTCCAACGACATGCAGTGACGCAATCCTCTCAGCTTGTGTGAAGCTGGTTAGTGGAAAGATGGGAGCGCAGAATTCTCTCACAATGTTGTCTGCCGAAATCCCAAGTGGTATCTGGGATGGCAAGGTATACCGGGTGTTCATCTACTTCTAGGAGAAGTTGCCAAACAAAGGTCTTAGGATTTGTGCCACAACTTTGCTTTGGGCAATGTTTTATCCCACTAGCTGTTTGTAACTTCGCAAGCCCATCTTCCTGAGCCATTTTGGCAGTTCGTGCAAGCCGCGGAGCAGGCAACTCTTCTTGCTCACATCATGTCCATGTTCAGTCTCCGACTTAATTCGATCTGTCAAGAGAAAGAGGACGGAACTAGCTACAATCGTTGCACAAAGCCCAAGTTGTTGCACTGTTCCGCAGAAGTGTTGGCTGGAATCATTCGACGATATTCGGGTTGCGTTCCAGATCTCAGCGACTGGCACTCACGTGTCAACCCTCAGGTGTCAAAGACCAGTCTTTTTTGTTTCGTTTTTGAACAAAACAAGGTTGCACCTGAGGGTGCAGATTGAACTTTTGGAACAAAGACTGGGTTGACCTGGGGTTGAACAGTCTTGTTGAACAGTCTTGTTCAGATTGAACTTCGGAACAAAGGGGCCTGCGGGTCGCACCTACGGTTGCACCTACCACGGCTGGATCCTTGCCAAAAGGTTAGGGAGTCGAAAAGGCAAGACCCTGAACACATGTAGAACTGTTGCCACAATTCCTGAACACATCACCGGAAAAAAGGCATTAATTGAAGAGAGTGTGTGCCGTCTGGATCGATTTGGATCGCATCCGTGGCGAAGATGGTCCGATCAGTCTGGTGTGCACCCCAAGATTCACACGCGTGTGTCCACGCGCACAGCACATGAACTGTTCGTGATTAGTGATTAGATGTGATTAGTGAGAATGATCAACAAGCTGCCTTGTACTTAGTCAGGGAAGTAAGTCGGACTGGCCGTCAGGTTCTTTGTGAATCTTCAGAGGTGTAGATGGGTCCGGAACCAAAAAGCCTGACCAAGAGCTGATGCAGACCTCCCTTAAACCTTCAAGGTTCTCCGATGATGGTACGCTAGGCGATCGGATGATGGTGCCATCGGATGATCCACTGGGAAGTGTGATTCACAGCAAAACAGTGATCCTTAATTCACAAGAAACGTCGAAGGCATGATCGTTTTGATCATCTCTTGTAAATACCGGACCCTTCAGGTCCTTTCTCGACCGTGCATCAAAGAAAATAACAGGTTCCCTGAAAGGGTGGGTGCCACTATCGCAAGTGCCTGCAGCTTGCGTATCATCTGCCAGCGCATTCCCCTGTGCAAACGCACAGCATAACGAAAGGGTAGCCTGCACAGCCAAATGACAATATACCTGACTGACTACCTGACTGCAATGAACAATTGGTTGTCAGGATGTCGGAAAAATTGGTGGACACCTACGGATTTGGTGGGAACATTAAAGATGACTACACATGTATAGACCTCAAAGAATTGTATAGCAACCTTGACCTCATATCTATTGACTTGTGAACCGAATGTTCAGACATGTTAAGTACCACAGGCCTGCTTCATACAGAAAGCCATCATTGGGAAGGAGGCGTTCCGAACTTGCCTGTAGCGCTCTCTGCACAAGTAGCACTTTTGGATGGCCAATCCTTGAGGACATGTTCATCTTCGGCCTTTCTTCCATGGCTGATAGCAACCATACCCAACGGCAAATACTCCCCCAGCAGCTGCACCACTGACAGGTGTTCACTGGCAATTGCCTTGGATTTACTGAGACAGGGTCTCGCCTGGAACAACAGAATATTGCCAATTTGAAGGGAAAAGAGGAATATATAAATACATAAATTAAACTTCATTATAAAGAACTTTGAGCAAAATCAGGCCGCAATGTCCAATGCTGTGGACCTATCATTTGCAGCCTTGTGTTTGTCAGCTCCAGCTGCTACCAGCAACAGCACAGCTTCCGGCTTGTTACTCTCAGCTGCCAAGTACAGTGCTGTCGAGCCAAACCAATCTTGTCGGTTCAGATCTGCCCGGGCTTCTAGCAGCAAAGGTATGCATTTCCAATTGCCAGCCCATGCTGCAGTGTGTAGTGCTGTCCAGCCAAAATCACGCGTGAAGTCTGGAGCTAGTGGTATCTGTAGCAACCTTTCCACTTCCTCACAGCAATTCGTGGCGCACGCTGTGAAGAGCTTCACGTTGCAAGCGTGGGATTGCTTGAAATCCACGACAAGGAGCTGCACCGTTGAAGGAGGAAGGATCTCCTGGTAGAGGAGACACACTTCGAACGACACGAAAATACTTCGAAGTGTCAATCATGCCTACATTGGGGTGGTTTTGGGGGTCAATGTAGGCATATATGGCAGTCCCATGGAGCGTCTGGGATTGGTAGAGGGCAGGGAAAACATCCGATGAAAATCACAGAAAAAACAAATCACCAAAGATCGCCACAGATCGCCTTTCATCCGCCACAGATCGCCGTGGCGGCGAAAACAATGGCGCTTGCGTTGAGAAAAACATCTTGGGGTCACTCCAATCCATTTCTAAAGCATTGGTCATGCTACTGGTTTACTATCCCTGTGGTGTGCCATCGCTCTAGCATGTGTCATTTCTATTATAGCATTTGTCATTTGCTACCCCTATGGTTTGTTTTGCTGGTCATCCACGTGGACATGCAACATTGACCCTTGCACTCGACCATCTTCCTCTAAGTCTAGAGTCTACAGCATTCTACAACCTCTACAACTGCAAATGTGAATGACAAAAAGGGTATGTGTTGAGATCTCTCCTGGTCGTCCAACAGACGTCGAAGATCTTCTGCTAAGCATGTTTGTTGGAACCTTGTAATTCCAATCCTCAGTGGCAACGGCGTGATGTCTGTCCACCGATCGGTCCCAAAATAGGAAAAGGTACTGTTCAAAAGAAAGGCTATTGCAGCCACGACCTATATCTATTGAAGCCTGAGCCTGAGACTTCTCATGATTTATGGAGTTCTCTGGCCAAGAGCGAGTTTTCACACCTCCACACCGTATGAACTATATAATTGTATCAACTGTTTGATCTCTTGGGGAAAACCAGGTGATCCGTAACAGACGAACAACAACAACAACAACAACAAGGTACAAACAAAAAACTGCAGCCCAGTTACGAGATATCTTGTTCCTTGTCTCTACAAGGGGGTGGAAACAAAATCTGCAACCCCGTCGTTGTTATTTTGACCCCCCCCACGAAAACAACCAGCCAACATGTACTTTTACCAGTCGTGGTAGTGCTTGTACTAGTGCTAGTACTAGTGGTACTAGTACTAGTAGTAGTCGTTGTGGTAGTGGTCGTAGTAGTAGTCGTCATAGTAGTAGTAGTAGCAGTAGTAGCAGTAGTAGCAGTAGCAGCAGTAGCAGCAGCAGCAGCAGGAGTAGTAGTAGTAGTGGTGGTAGTGGCACTAGTAATAGTAGTAGTAGTAGTAGTAGTCGTAGTAGTACTAGTACTAGTTTTCGTGGTGGTGGTGGTAGTCCGGTCAGCTAAGCCTCTGTAAAACTTCTACTTAGAACCTCTACCACAACCCTTTTTCAGAAGATGTTGTTGTCTCTACCCTGTTTAGAAAGAAAATCTGGAGCCCCGTTGTTGTTTTTTGACCCCCCCCCTCCAGAACAACATCCCAAAAAACATCAAAAAACAAGAAACAGACCAACCAAGACTTGAGAACCACAACGACAAGAAGTCCAGCTACTAACATCTCTCCAAACCTTCGACCCTATCCCTAACAGTGCCCCTTTGAAATCCCTGACTTGCAACATGTGACAACTATGTTGGGCAGCTGTTTTTGTCTCTACCAACAACAACAACACCAGCAGCAGCAGCAGCAACAGCAACAGCAACCGCAACCACAACGACAACGACAACGCCAACCACAACCGTTGGCTCTGGGCCTCCGAGACACAGCCTCTCGGTTAAAACGAAAGGGGAAGAGTTTGGCCAAGCAACCAAGAACCAAATCTCTTCACATCTCTACAAAATGTTCACAATCCTTCACATTTAGCCAAAAAGGATTGGAGGTCTTGGAAAGCTTAGCTTTTCAGATTACAGGTTTCTTCTTCAAACCACGGTGCGCCTCTTGAGAAGTGAGCCACAAAGTAGAGGCACTAGCTTGGATGGTAAATTGGTTGGAAGTAAAAACTGCCGGAAATGCAAGAGGCTAGGTATGTGGTAAAACCCCAACATGCAAACTACTTGTCAGGGTACGCTACTCAATTGTTTGTGGTTTCTTTGTATTGAGCTGCGACAGTCCAGCATGGGACACCAATGCACTACCCGGTAGACACCCCATATCAGTACTCTGTGGGTGAACCCATTGGACACCCCATACCTTCAGGTCGTCCTGATGTTTCGTGATGTATTGGTCGCTATGTTGTATTGGAATCTATCGATCAACAAGTGTGACTGCGGTCATCCGCAGATTCCATGGTGGTCCTCCATGCAATGAAAACACAACAAGTATATACACGAATGCAAATCATGTTGAGGTCTCTATCAATTTAAAGATAGGCTATCCTTGGTTGCGCTCACTAAATCTTAAAACCACATCGACATCCGATCGCAGTGCAACCACAGCGGAGAATCTGCTTGGCCAACATCGTCTTGAGCCACCGTACTGACTTGCCCTCCACCTGCTCCGGAGCAAAGGTGGCTACAACTCGGCCAGTCATCACCCAAACAACACGAAACATCGAGCGCCCCGAGCGGAGGTGTGTGCACCTTCTAAGGACCTGAACCACCAGCGCACGGCGCCGCTTGAGCCGCCAGGGCGTACAAGAGGCAGCTTTGACCACATACGGTTCGACAAGCAGATGATAAAGAACAACATTAGCTCTCGAGATTGAGATTACAAAGGAAACAAGTGACAGCTGATGACATGTTCTCCGCTTCAGTCTGACATTCTGGAAAACCCTTCGCGCGCGAACCGCCTTTTCTCCCTTCGAACCAAACGCAGGTGTTTCGTTCACGGTTTCATTCCTTTTCTTCGGGGCCCCACGGAACGCCACACGGGAGGTCCAAAGGGTGAACCAGAAACGGTGCGAGTGACGCTCCTGACCAGTCAGGCGAAACCCAGGACTGTGGGTTTCACTGTCGGACTCCTCTGTTTTGTCCAATCAAAACGTCATAAATTCATGACAATTCATCTATGAGATATTGGTGTGACATATGTATTAGAAACGGGCGATTCGCGTCTTTTTGGTGTGTTTAATTGAATTTGATTGAACATAATTTTCCAATGGAGCACACACTTTATGTGCAACGGGTCTTTCTAGAATCAACTAGTTCATTGATGGTAAATTGGTTTTGAATTGAACACTATTCAAGAAAGATTGACTTGTAATTGGATTCCTATCAACATCTCCTTTTTATACACTCTGTGTTCACAGTATAAATGACGTTCTTCCACGTCGTCGCCAATTAAACAGTCCTTTGATAAAACTTTGGTCAATGAAGACTGATGTTTGATTGATGTCCAACCATCTTTGAACAAATTGCTTTGTCATGGGCACTCTGGGCCCAGCCGTCCCCAAAAACGCCGTCCCAGCCATCCGTGTTTTCATGTCGCTTCGACCCGGGGCACCTGTTTCTTCGCCAACTGAGCTCCTCTGTCACTGCTTTCCTGCATGCACGAATTCCAAGAATCAAAGATCCCAACATATCCCAATCCTCCAACCCTGCGTGACTCCAACATTACAACGGAGGGTGCACCATAGTAAGGTTCTTCTCTGCCAAATGAGTCCGTTTTCATTGGCATGACATTTCTCTTATCGGCCCAAACCAACAAACACCAATCCGTTGAAAACGAACCAATCCGTGTTCCAGTTCCACCGAACAAACACGCTTTTGGGTGGAAAAAACTTGTTCATTCGCCGGACCTAAGGCTATCCTGTCCTAGACACCGTCGGCAGGGGGAATCCCCAAACAGTGCCCCAGAGCCTTGGTGGCACAACCAAAACGAAGAACCAAAACGAAGCCCTTTCCGCCGGCGGGTCCGCCGGCTCCGGCGAAGCGGGCGACCTTGATGCTGAACTTGTCGCTCACGGCCCCAGCGGCGTCCGACAGGGAGCTGGGCACTGGAACCGTCATGATCTGTCCGTGGGGTCCGTCAGGTCTGGGTGGCGGGTCCCTTTGAGCTGGGCTCGGGGGTCTGAAGGGATCCTGCAGGAAACGAATCCCATGCAGGATTACTGGATGGTTTCATGAGGCATTGGCAGGTAGCCAGCGAAGGCATGAGGGATGCTGCCTGTGTGGGGAAAGAAGCAGTTCATGTTCTCCTTCCAACAAGCTTCTGGTTGTTTGGGTTTCCAGGTATGTACCGGTATGTATACTGTATATATTCATACTGTAAGGCTCTGTGGGAACAAATTTTGAATCCTTGTAGGTGGGCTTGAAACTTAGTAGTGCTGCCTGTAGGCACGCCTATCAGCTGCAGGCCATACCCAACTCCAATACGAACCTCCCCGAATTGCATCTTGCCGCCGCAAGAAGCCCCGGCCCATGTTTGGTTGCGCCAAGAAACGCCCTCCACCGGGGAGATGGCGCTGCTTTCGACCTCCTCGAAACCCATCCGCAAATAGAACTTCAGCAGCTCCTGGTCCGGTCGAACCGGAGCGGTCCCGGAGCGGTCCCGGGTGCGGCGGATGGGGCGGTGGTCGGTGTCGGTGAGTCCGTGATCGGGTTCTCAACCCGATCTCGGAGAGAACCCGATCTGCCCGGAAGGAAAACATCGTCAAGTCCAATCGCAGGTCAATGAAGAACCTCTCTTTGGGGCGGTTGCTCCTCACCTGTTGCTCCTGCAGCAAAGCTTGGGTCTTGATGGACGTTGGCCGTTTACGACCTCAGCACACGTTTTACGAGTTGGACCGGCTTGCAAAAGAGTCAAAAGGCTTCGGGTCGAAAAAGTAGATGAAATGAAATGAGCTATAGCCTGGATAATAAGTAGATGAAATCAATTTAGCACAGTGGCTGGTTCGGCTACGTCAAGGGTATTCATTCGTTTTGAAAAACGTACTTTCGGGTTCCTCTTTGCTTCATGAGTCTGACTCCTCGCGGATTTTGACCAAAGCCACAGTAAAGTTCAGAGTCGTCCAAAGAGATTAGTCGATGGACATGTTCCAGGTCACACGACTTCAGTGGCTTGCCAGTGGCATGCAAAGCGACAGTAGCAACTCTCTTCAGGATCTTAGAACCTTTCTTCTCCTGAACAAAAGCATCCAGTCGACGAACCTTGTGTCTGGTCGAACCTTTTGTCTACCCGAAGTTGTCTGGTCGATGAAAGACAAAAACAAACGAACGGTGCAGTAGTCTGGGGCTCCGGAGCCGAAGTCATGAGGGATCAAGGAAAAGTATTGCGAGGACAAGTCATCCAGGTCAGCGCCTAAGAAGTCTTGCACAGGAACCCCTTTCATTGTAGTAGCTATTTGCTCCTAGTAGTATAAGGCCAGGAGCTACTGGTAGCGTCATCGCTACTAGTAGCGATGCCATTTGTTACTAGTAGCTTCTTGTTCCTAGAAACCCTTCGTTTTCATGTGTTCACCCTGTGTTTTATTCTCTGACCCATTCCGTTGAGCTTTTTGCAGTGTATTGAAGCCCAACATGCCCAGTGTCCACAAATTTGCATAGAATGACAAATGCGGACGGATTGAAAACGTTTCAAGCTGCTGAACAAGCTATGCATGATTGTGTCAGCTTGCACCAACAATCCCAAGTGTCTGATGTTCTCAAATTCAGGCCCAAACTATATAGTTGGTCTTGTTCAACGCATCCAGGTTGTTTCAACACGCCAAACGGGCAAACAAACCTTGAACGACACACTCGTCGCCGTCCCCGTCGCGTCGCGGTTCCGGCGCCTTTCTTCTTCATCGCCGCCGCGATCTTGTCCAAGACCGCCTGGCCCTTCGCGATCTGGGCCTCGGGCGCAGAAGAACTCCCAGCATCTCCCAAAGAGAATCCAGTGACCACAATAGTAGGCCCACCAAAAACAAATGTATACCTAGCAACCATATATATATATATATATACATAGTGGTAACATGTGGTAACAGCTGATTCTTCTTGTGTGGCATGAACTAGGTGCACCTGGTCTATGGGGTGGTGGTTCAAGCAAACCGATAAGTTATGTTTCAATTTGAAGAGAGAAACAACATTATGCGACTGTGATGACCTTGGTATGTCCGAGAAACCAACACATCTGTCTGATGTCCGAGAAAGTGGCCTCATGGCGTCCTGGACCTCCAAATTGACAAGTCCTGCTGAACATCATGAACTCACATAATGAACTTAAGTTATAGCTTTGGTGAGCTTCATCCGACCAAAAGAGTCCGGCACTTCCAGGATGGGTGCCCCACATGTTGACCATCCTCATATGATTGAGCTGCAAGGACTTCTGTTGGCTAGAGCGGCTAGACTTATAACAGTTCATTCACGGGACTTCTCCCCGTGCCATCCATTGAAGCCAGTAGCAGCTGTGAGCTTTCCCATGGGTGCAGAGCCACCGCCGGCCGCGTCTTCCGTCTCCACAATGATGTACTTCCCTTTCCTGAAAAAAACACAGATGCAAAGAGAAAAAGAACCGAAACAAGTTCCTAAAAAGGGAAGTCACTAATCGATATTCTTTGGGTCACGAAATCATGCCCCTAAAGGGATCTGCTTCTGAGACCCTCAGTGCTTTTCGTTAGCAAGGGGAAGGACCCCAAGATTTCTAGCCTTTCAAGTCTTTTTCATGAAATAATCACGGAAATGGAAAACCACCTGGTTTGCATAGGAAAATTGTCATCCACGAGGCCATGCCTTCCACTCAACCATGATTGCTCCAGAAAAAATAAACAATACCTTCCAAAGTCGTAGGAGTAGATCTCGCATGCTCCTTTGAATCACAAAGGGGAGAAGAACTCTGGATGGTCAACTAGTCATCCGCATGGTCGTCTGGCCCATTTCAATACGATGAAAAACCAGTTCACATGCACATGCCAAGACCTTCAGTTTGTGACCTCTTCGACGTCTCTAAGTGGCCTCTCTAGGTGGCCTAAGTGACCTCAAACGACCGACAAGCCACTGGGATCTCAGTCGGACGGTCACTGACTGAAGGTCTGGAATATAGGATAAAGTATTGGAATGTTGATCAAACATGCACATTTACCCAGGCTCATGACCCTTTCCAAAGCATTCATCCAGTCCAGAATTCTAAAAAAAAGACAGCGAGAGAGAGAGAGAGAGTAAGGTTCACAAACCTGGTGTAAGCTCCCAAACGCAAGGAAGCTCTCTCCGCCAGTGCCCACTGAATTTTAATGTCAGCAGTAGTAGCAGTAGCAGTAGCAGTAGAAGTAGAAGTAGTAGTATTAGTAGTAGTAGTAGTAGGAAAAGTAGTAGGAGTAGCAGTACGAGTAGCAGTAGCAGTAGCAGTAGGAGTAGTAGTAGTAGTAGTAGCAGTAGCAGATACAAATTCTGTGTCTTGGGGGGATCCCGTGCCATGTTTTCGCTTTTCGTTGCTCGTAAAAAACAAATGCACAACAAAATAGGCCTTTCCCATCTTGCCACGACGTCTCTCCATGTCTCTCCATCTCTCTCTCTCTCTCTCTCCTGGGCTTGAAGTCATCTGCATCCTCCCAAGCATTGCAGGTCTTCTCTCGGAACTTGGACTTGAAGGCCTCTGCTTTCTTTGCTCGCTTCGCATCGCACGCTTGCATCGCACTGGAACTGTCCGTCGAACTCGTGTTTTGCCGCGGAACGTCGGACTCACCGGTGGACTCCGACGTCACCGAAACGGACGTTGGAGCGAGCGATCGAAACGGGAGGGGGGAACGGGTGTCCCCCCAATCCACCCCAGTCCACGGGTATCCCACTTTTCCTCACTAGGTCTGGTTCTTTTTTTTGAGAGTGGGACGCCACCAGGGCCCCCAAAATACACGGTTCTCAGCTGTTTTTTTTTCACCCAAACATATGATTTATATGATTGTTTATAGGTCTTATTCCAAAATGCTATGTTGTATGTTGACGACGTAATATCATTAGTATATACTGTAATCTAATGTATTTCTCAATATGTCTAAATTAGTTTAGCTTGGGGAATTTACAAGTATACAGTTCTTGATATTGTTTAGCTTTTGTTCATCCTCTTCTGCGTTCAGTCTCTTCTATACTTTCAGTAATATTTTATGCTCAAAACATATTGTCAATCATTGCATCAGCATATTGGAGGGGGGGTCGACCAACTTCTTTTTTTGGTCGACCCGAGTCCCCCGCCCGAAAAGCATCAAGCCAGAAGTGACACTCCCCCAAATCATCTTAGTTACGTGGGTTGGATGGCTCCCCCAAATCCAGGATTACCTAATATATATATATATACTACGAAGAACAAAAAGAGGGTCACCACCTGAACTCCACTCCCGTTCATTCCCGTTCAACCCACCGTCCGACCTTGATGGCCTGGTCAGGACTGCCAAACCTCAGATCTGCAGCTGAGCGCTGCCACGCTGGCAGAACAGCAGCGATTGTGCTGACGATGTTCGGGTTAGACATGGACCCATCGAGGCTCTGTTCTCATGCCTGAAATCCATACAAATCCCATGCCTAAATGAGGTCAAAGGGGTGTCCATTCATAGCCCCTTAGAGGTCAAAGGGTGCTCATTAGACACCCCAACCGTGGGTCCGCGGTTGAGACTCGAAACCGAGAACTGAGGCTTCTGCTTTCAGAACCCTGTCCGTGAGCCATTGGGCAATTCGAAGCGCGCCACATTCATGACGCCAGCTCCACAAACCACAAGCTTTCCCTTAATCTAGATGAAAATCCCTACCTCTTCCATCCTCTTCCCTGTTTTGCTGTTGCTGCTGGACCAAATGCGCACGTTTCGCCTCCCAAACCCCCGGCCACCGCAGTTGTTTTCGCCGGCCGAAGCTAAGCGGCGAGGTGAACTTCGTGGCGCCGGACTCGCCCACGCGCCCCCAGCGGTTCCAGGCGTGATAGGAACCTGAAGGGACATCCGCGACCCAGGGACCAAGGGCCGGGCCTCCCTGGCGTCCACGAGAGACTATACAAGTAGGTGAGACGGGTGCAGCTGCGCCCCGAGCGTGGGGGCGCTTCAGCGAAAAAGGCCACAGGGTACCAAAGGGTGGATTTTCGTAGGTGGTCATAGATCTTCTCTGGTGAGGTGGGATGGGACTTTCAGATCCAAGTGGAGGTCTGAACTTGCTGGTGCTGATTTACTTGGGAGGTCATCCAAAAATAGATCAGAAGCTCATTGATATCTTCCATGTGAAGATCCAGGCCCAAGAGGATCATCCAATGTCGGTCGGACCTTGCCGCGACCTGAGGTCTCGGCCGCCTCCTTCTAGGACTTGGATGATGTAGTACTTGTTGTTGTTTCCCTTCCTGAATGAAGCACGCTCTCGACATCTAGGTGATTCTTGTGGGTGCGGGTTGCAAACAATGAGCACTTTAGCGAGTTCATCGAAATCTGGGCCCTCCGTCACCACATGTCCCACCCAATTCGTCCTACACAAAGCATCACAAACTAATTCTTCAAGTGGCCTTTTGATCCCCTGGTTTGAGGTCACTTAGGCCTGGAAAATTTAAAAGACCACTTATTGTGTAACTCATACATAGACTCTTTAAAGGGTAACTTTAAAGAAGCTAGAACACTTAAGTTATCTTAAGTTCACAGTATAAAAGTCCGAAAAGAGGTCTCGGGACTGTCACGTTCGTAGCGACAAAAAATCCCAGTGAAATCGAGTGCAGGGAAAAACCCTTCTGCGAAGGGAAAAAACCCTGGTAACGGGGGCTGGCTTCGACAAGTCCCGTCACAGCAAGGAAACGGCTACAAACCGGATGGCCAAAAAGAAGCAACCGTGTAACTGAAAGGAGAAGGGGGCACACCCCGAAAGCAGAGGAGCTCATCTCATTGTCTGGGCCGCTCCATCGTCACAATGAGAGTGGGTCTTGTGTCCACAGCAGGGGTCGAGGCTCACGCTCAGCCAACAAGCTCAGCGCTGAATGAAGATCGTGGTACATATGTGCTACATCGGTCGTGTCACTTTGAAAGGTTGAACAGTTGACGCGATTCTACTCCCACTAGCCCTTCAAAGTGTACTAGTAACTAGTGGTTTTCGATTGATGTTATCTCGCTCGACGAAGAACATCTGGCATGACCTGTCCAAAGGCGAGCAAAGCGAGCAGCAAATGATCAACTGATGAGCAACTGATCAACATGGGAAAATGGAACACTTCTGCAGCCTGCAGGACCGACGTATCCATTCGGAACCCTGCTTGCAATTGTGCCGGATGATCGGTGTTACATGTCCAGTTGCCTTATGAACACCATCCATGGGAGACTGGAAGAGTTAATGTCAACATTGGATTTAAGTATATAACCACCCCCGATTAATCAATCCGAGCAATGATTAATCCCTATTAAGATTCGGGGCCGTTGATTCATCCTACGTCGACATTACACAATGAACCATTTGCCCCATTTCTTTATGACCCGTAACGATTCGGTCTGGAATCCGCTTCTGATTCTCCACCGTCGACGGAACGCATCCAAGAATCACGTTGGTCTGGTTCAGTTTCACAGAGTAGTCCTGACTCGACCAAGTCAAGCGCGAGGTTCCACAGGTCTACGGTCTAAATATTTAGCGAGAAGGCCAACAACCACCACAACGGCCACCACAACAACAAAAAACAATCAGCAAGAACCAAACAAATAACCAAAAACTAGCTGACAAACAACATCAAGACAATATAATATGATGCAACTATATATATATATATGTATATATATATCAGCTTGTAAAGGATTCTATCATCAGATGGTTGTCTGCGGAGCAGTTCGTCTTGGCGATGTTTAACCGTTGCTTGGTTGCCCCCTCTCTGCTTGAATTCCCAATATGTTTACCAAACTTTGCTTTCTTGATGCCATGTCAAGATGAAGCTTCAAGCCTGTTGGGAACCCGAAACAAATTAGCGTCGGGAGAGCTTAAAGACAATGATGCCAAAACATGTCAAAAGTTATTGTAAAACAGGTTGGATGGTATTACTTTCTAGCTAGCCTAAGCGATGAATCTGTATCCGGTATTCTTTTATGCATTCAGTGAGATGATCAAACATCATGTCATATCAAGAGGTCACGCGAATGCATGTGGGCTCGCACGAGGTAGACCAGAAACCTCACTAGCGGCAATTTTTCTCACAAGCTGCTTCGAATGGTGTTTGCGGCAGCGTTGCTCTGCGCCGTCCCTTCATTGAAACAAACAACTGCGAACATCAATCTTTTCAGCAGCGGTCGGAGAAATCACTAAGTATGGACAGAGCAGACCTATCCTCGCCGCACCATCACCCGTGAGGCTTCCGGTTGGGCCAAACGCTCTCACATTGATAACTACGCAACGTGTGTGGGCTATCTTGTTATTATTTTGTCTCGAACTTTGAAGCGCAAGCCCCACACCCGTGTTCGGTGGCTCCACCTTCAATCAAGCGGCGTATCTCAGAAAAAAGCAGCTAGGCTATCAGGCCAAAGGAGAGTTGGCCTCTGCCAGTCTCGTTGCCAGGCTCTTCCTCCTGGTGGCCCGCCTCAGTTTTTTTCGTGACTTTCCCCGGCTTCTTTTTTGGCTGCGGTCCTGCTTCGGAATCATCTTTTCTGTGTTTATTCTGTCCTGGATTTTTTGGCGGTTCGTCTTTCGCCTCTGCTTCTTGAAGCGCTTCTGGTCGGAAGTGGCTGGACCTACCCTTTTCATTTCTGACAGCAAGAATTCGGCCGCATTTCGATCTTCTTGGCGTGCTGCTCAGACAGCGCAAAGCCGTAGTATGGCGCGCGTGCTTGAGATAAGGCCCACTGCCAAGTCCAACCTGACAAGATCGAAAGCAGCAGCTGTCATTTATCATAAAATATCATATGGGGCGACAAACAATTGTCATTGAAGCTATTGATGGGACAAAGCGCAACCCCTTGCATGAATGCCCACGGAGCAAGTCTCGGAAAAAACTCGATGGGCAAGACAGATGCCGAGAAGACGCTTTCAAGGTTCGACAAGGGCTCCGTGGTCTTTGCGTCTGCTGTCACTGCCACTGCTCGATCCGAGGTCAACACTTCTACCTTTTCAGACCTGGCAATCTTTAGAACAGAATCTCGGTTTTGAAAGGAGACAAATGAGTTGACGTTAGAGCTGACCCGGGTAAGGAGAGTGTAAAATGACAAGGCCAGACTGGGCCAACCTCGGGTAAGGATACCGTCTTTCGTTCTAAGGACAGTGCGCCGGCTACGCGGACACTACCCTTACACCAATCTACACTATCCTTACCCAGGGTCGGACTGGGCCAGCCTCGGGTAAGGCTACTGCGACTTTCACTCTCCGCATACCCAGGGTCAATCACCGGGGTGTGGTTTTCTGACTGGGCCAGACTCGGGTAAGGTCAGCGACGTTTAACGGTTGCGACGTTAAAGTGGTTGCCTGAAGTGCGTGGCCGCAAGCTCCCAGGGTCCGCTCTTATGATTTTGACTGGAATGTTCAAGTTCTCCCAGGCTTCATTGGGACTGTATTTAGGAGGTCATCCGCTAGCTGAAAGCACTGGTGCCGTGGGCATCGCAGCCACCAATCTCTTCCTTCTCCAAGGGCCGTGAGTTCAGCCGCGTCCAAGCATCGGCGCACGGCTGTTACGGACACTCCGTCGCCAACGGCTTCTTCAAAAGCTCGACGCGGTACTGTTACCTTCATCAGCTTGTCTGCGACAGCAGACGGCAAGCCTTGCAGGCGAGCCATTAACCTAGTGCGAACAGTGCCTACTGCGAAGAGCCATGTGCCCGCAAACACTCAGTATCCGTAGATAGACGAGGCGCCCGCGAGCGCAGTGCCCGTAGGCAAGTGCCCACTGGGCACGCAGCGCTCGAAAGCACGAAGTGCCCGTAGGCACGGAGTGCCCGCAGGCACGCAGCGCGCGCGTGCGCGATGCATTCCACAAGCCTGGAGCTGCTCAGGCTTTCGTGCCAGGATCTGGTCAGCTGACGTCACTGAGGCCACCCGGCAACAAGCAGCTTTCAAATTCACTTGGCCTCGTGGGCCATGCAGGTGTGCAACAGCCCACATGTTGGAAGATTCCCGCTGGTCCTGGTGCGGAACATCTTCCAATGCTTGGCCACCTGTGGAAGCCAGGTTCTGAGGACCCTCTTCAGTGGGCAGCTGTGAAAGGGCAGCCAACACTTCTTGGCGCAGTGCACCTCTCAGGTCAAAGCAGCGATCCATGATTTTTCGAAGCGTTCCCTCGCAGCCTTTCACCTCCTCCTCGGAGATGCGCAGCTGGTCCCGCAGCCCTGCTGTTTCCTCCATCTTATCTGTCACATCATCGAACAGCACAGTGGCCTCTGTGGCCAGCAAGGAAAGAACTGCGACGCTTTGTAAGAGAGCCAGCTTCTTATCCATGCTGCTACACACCAAAAAAAGGCAGCTAGAATTCAGCACTGCGCCGGACTTGTGCCAAAACACTGCAGCCAAACCTCTCTTTCTTGTAAAATCTTTCCAGGCTAGGGCTTGGGGTGCCGAACCTGTTTATACACATGCATTATGTTTTTCCAAGACTAAGAACAACTCGGGAAAAAGGAGATATGATAAAGATATAAATATTCACGGTGACCCTTGGTTATCTTGCAATAAAGGTATTTGCAATACTGGTCAATTCAGCTTCCACCACACAGGCGGGAGCAACCAAGCAACAGTTAAACATTACCAAGTCGTGCAAGAACATGAAAGAACCAAAACCAACAGGCAAAAACACAATCATATCTCTTCAACTGGCACACATGCGCATGCGCAAGAGCTGAATCAGATGAAGTTCCACTTTAGCGATTACAATACCGATCTAGAGCGCTGAACCTGGACCTGGCATCAGCCCTGAGCAGAACAGTAAGGTGGCTGGGTCGGAAACAATATGGTTTAAAAATCATCAAGTCTCGAATCAGCAGGTACACATTCAGGCGTCCCTGAATGCTTCCACCAGTCTTCTGCAGCTTCGTTGGGCAACCAACGTAAGAAGACTGGCAGTTGCCCCCCCGCCTCCTTTTTCTAGGAAATTAAATTGAATATACGGAAACCTTGGAAAACAGGTGGTGACACACACACACTGAGACAGTGGGTTTGCAGCTAACTCAATTCCCACGAAAAATATCGGCGCTCCAGAGGATTACTAGCCACCTAACAAGCTTTAGAAAGAAAAGACAGAAAGAGCAAACGAAGAGGGCAAGAGAGAAAGATAGGAGTAGTTACGAGGCCCACTAGTTAAGAAACCGTCTAGTTACTGACTACTTAGCCGAATGAATTAGGTGCACTAGTTAGCGAGCGGGCCTTTAGTCTTAGACCGCCCGGGTAGGAAAGACTAGCACAGGAGAAACAGAAGGAAAGGCACCAACACACAAGTGTGCTGAGCGCGATTTCCTTCTGTTACCCTAATTAGAGGGTGGGATAGCAACTACGAATTAGGTGCAAGGGTGGGGGGAAGGGGGGAGGGTGGGTTGGGGTGGCTCACAGGCACTGCCGTAACCGGCGCTCCCTTGACTGAAAGGCACCTGGAACCTAAAGAAAGGCCTCAAGAAAACGAAAAGCAACAGCAGGAAAGAAAAACCGAACGGACCAAAAGAGAAAACCCGCTCACGTTCCTCATTCTCCTCACGTCACGCCACGTTCGGCCGTATACGGCGCTCCCTTGACTAAAGCTTCACCTGATACCTGAAAGCCTCAAGCAAAACCGTTGGTAGTTGTTAGACACTCTGAGTTCGTTTCGTGTCGTTTCGTGGATCGCACATGCGCAGGGAAGTCAGTGGGCCCTGCGGCATTCAATCGCAGTAGGCCCTGCGGCGTTCAATCAGCATTCTCATGCAAGACACGTAAGCTAGTGGGAATCAGAGAGAAGGTCACAAGAAGGACAGGAGAAGTCAGTGGGAGTCCCCCAGATCTGGGTCTATGCACATGCAGCGCCCCTCGATGGGCATCACACCACAGCCCTCAGTGGGACTCTGTGGCGACACACACTTAGAACGTTGCTCGCAAGAGCTGAATCAGTTGATGAAGTTCCACTTTAGCGATTACAATACCGATCTAGAGCGCTGGAACCTGGACCTGGTAACAGCCCTGAGCAGAACAGTAAGGTGGCTGGGTCGGAAACAATATGGTTTAAATCAGCAAGTCTCGAATCAGCAGGTACACATTCAGGCGTCCCTGAATGCTTCCACCAGTCTTCTGCAGCTTCGTTGGGCAACGTAAGAAGACTGGCAGCCCCCCCCGCCTCTTTTTTCTAAGGGAAATTAAATTGAATATACGGAAACCTTGGAAAATAGGTGGTGACACACACACACACACTTAGACAATGGGTTTGCAGTTAACTCAATCCCCACGAAAAATGAACGCAAACGGCAAGGCGGCTGGGTCAGTGGAAGTGAAGGTGTTTAACAAAAGGGTTTGCATGACTGCGGACTCTTAGCTACTTAATACGTAGCGAGCGAAAAGTGGACGCAACGGCAAGGCGGCTGGGTCAGTGGAATTGAAGGTGCTTAACAAAAGTTTGTATGACTGCGCGCGTTAGTTACTGAATACGTAGCGATGGAAACCTGTTTTGGGATCTATCATGAGAACGACCATGGAAGCAAACCAAGAAAGTAGACAGCGTGAACAACAGTTGTTTTGCAGGTACACGCCAAGGCTTCCCTTGGTGCTTCCTCTGTCACATCCCAGCTTCGTTGGGCCAGGTCGGATGTGACAGGCCTGGCCCCCCTGCATGAACCAGCAAAAACTCCTTGGGACGGAGCGTGACACACACACACACTCTATTTCTCCCCACCTCTCTCTCTCTCTCTCGCGCTTCCTCTCCCTCTCTCCACAAACTGCACCTTGGTTTCAGTGATATTTTCTTTGTGTGACCGCTCCACCTACCGCTCGCCGCCCCTCCTCTCTGTCTTTCCTTTTTGAACGCCCGAGGCCGAAGCCTGGTACACTTTGTAGCCACCTGCTCCAGGAACTTGGTCATCCACCTGCTTCTTCCCTCCTGCACGGTGTGGTGGCAAAGAACTATCAGCGACACCATTCGTGGAGGACGAATCATTCAACCGTTTTGATCTGACTTGTGGATAAACACAAGCGACTACACAAGTGAGGTTGCTCTTCCACCTATTACCTCCAAGAAATAAGAGTCTATAGAACCCTTTGATTCCCAAGTACCAACCATCTCTGAACCACAATTCATCTTTTGTTACCTTCAAGTGTGTCTGAAGCCACCACAAAGTACAACACTGGCGTCGGTAATATTAATCGATTGTTAACATCATTGACCTCGATGCACCGTCCACTCCTCTCATGTGATTCTTCTGAACCAACCCTCGACTTGGTACCCATGTTTCAAACATGAAAGCCAAGTGTCTAGGGATGTCCACTATGACCGTCTTTCTACAGGTTTCAGAATGAGTAAAAAAACCCGAGACCCGTCAATCCAAAAGATAAACTACACCAAGCATTATCGTTCTTCACCTATACCAGGCCTTTGGAATTTGTTTGCTATTGATCTACAAATCTGAACACTTTCACAAACAAACTCTGTTTTGAAACAAACACTGCTTTCCCAGCATCTTCCGGCCTCCCTTCTTGCGCGCCGCTTTGGCCTGTCGCGTGTGGACGCGGGTCTCTCTCCAGGAGACCGGCCCTCACCCCCAGGTGGCTGGGTAGATTGGTCTATGTTCCGAACCTTCCAGGGGTTTGGACTGGGATACACACCCATATGGGTCGTTTCAGCACATGAATGAAATCGTTTCAGCAGTTTTTGGTTGAAAGGTGAGGGCGAGGGGCTTGGTTTTTCAAACGAGTCCTGCACCTGTTGTGCCAATTCATGTGACGTCGGAAGAAACACAAGCTACTTCCAAGTCATATTTTTCTCCATGTGCATATATGTATGTATAGATCAAATAAAGTTGCAAAGATAGGGACAAGACCTTTGATCTCCTTTGCAAACCCTTCCTCCACAAATTCGGCTATGTCTCTCTGATCCCCTATAGTTTAGTGACATCCGTGGTCAATCTCTTCAAAGTTTGACAGGTATATGGCCCAGCTGCTTGGGAAACAAAGAAAGAAAGAAAGGACAAATAGCAGCTTTATTGTTTCCAGTAGTAAGGCCAGGAGCCCCTAGTAGCGTCCTTGCTCCTTTCGTAGCGATGCCCTTTGCTCCGCTCGTAGCGGGATTGCTCCCTTTACCCCCCTTCAGATTCCCTCAGAAGCTTCTTGGTCATTTTTTTCCACTAGTTCATTTGAGGGAAACCATGGCACCCAAAAGGTTCAAGGGTAGCCGCCTCAGTGTCACTGGCTGAACATGTATTCTCGACGCTGGCAATGGATTCTCGACTGACAAATGCCAGGCTGAGGGTCAAAACCTAGCCATCCCAATTTTCCAATCATGTAGACCAAAGGACATATTAATATACCTTGACATACGGCTTCCTCGGGCGATGGAAATCCTTTTCACACCATGAACGATGGAAATCCTCTTCACAACCCATTGAACGAACCAGTGGTTCGGACGCAGCTTATTCCCCGATCGGCCTCAGTCTCTCGTGGATTCATAGGACATACTGCAAACTGTCGCTGAGTTTCGAGCGCACCTTGCCCACATCGCCAGAGCTAGACTTGCGCAGCTTACCTGGGACGGCGAATGACGTGCCCTATGGCTGCCCTGCAGCACCAAAAAGTTTATACATGTGGGAAAAGTTTGCAATATTCAAAAAAAAGGGTGGGACGAGCTGACACCTCACCGCTGTCCCCACCTGCGTCTGAGCTTCCTGAGGCTTTGCGTTTGGGCGCTGGCCTCAGTGATGAAATCGCCGGACTCAGTTGACTAAAGAAAGTTTGAAAGTTCCCACGACCCAACTTTTACTCAAATTATATACTGTAATATAAAGGACGTTAAAGGGCTACAGTATAAAGGTTTAACCAGTATAAATAGGTTAGTGTGTAACCCAATCCCCAAACAAATCTAAAGGTGCTCATTGACTGGGTAGGTTTTAACGGTAGGAGCCTACTAGTAGCTCCTGGCATCGCTACTAGGAACAAGGGGCATCACTAGTAGGAGCAAGGACGCGACTATATAATAGCATCACTCTTTTTCGCTCCTTCTCTGCTTCGGGCCTGAGCTCCGCACGCAGGCTTCTCGGCCCTCGCCAAAATGCGGGTGAAAAGATCTACAAAGGTGACTGTCTGGTAGAGACACGCTCTAACCAGGGCCTAAGGTATTTTGCAAGAGTATATGAGTATACTGTATGTTGTTTTCCAGTACCTGGTCTGGTAGAATGTACAATACTGTGACTTGTACAGCTGACTATTCAAAAGTTTCTTCCACCTCCTTAGGTCCCTCAAAACCATATTGTTCTTGTTCAACAGAATGTAGTCCTCACCTATAATAATGAATCAATCGGCCTGGTAAGGAAGGACAAATGAGAGGATTCACCCTAACTTGGCTTTGACAGAGTCAGATGTACTTAATGATACTTAATTGCTAGAATATGCTTAAGCTTCAACCTTGGGCAACTTTCTGACCGCGAGAAAATCAATGTGCCAAGCACGCAACAAGCACGTTTGAAGCTAAACTGCTTAGAGCAACGTCTCCGAACAATGGTCACTTGTTAAAATACGTGAGCAAAGGAGGTAGGAGAAACAAACGTTTTCTGTACAGGGTCCGCGATTGGTGTATTATCTATAAACAAACTATAGCAAAACAAACTCAAGAATCAGAACCACACAACTAGTAACAAGTTCATCGCTACTAGTAACAATCCCACGCGTCTTAAGACAACTGCCTCGAGTTTGAGTTCGGTTCCGCAAGTGTGTACAGCTCAGACCTCCCGGTTAAACCACGTGAAACGGTCACGGGACCAACCTGGCTTTGGCTTTGGCTTTGGCTTTTGCCTTGGGGCTCGTGCGGGCCGCCGCCTGGAAAGATGTGGATTGGACAGGAAGGGAGAAGAAGAAGAGCAAAAAGATCCATGAATGGGTTTGAGGGAACATCTGCAGGACACCCATAGTTTTGGGGGTGAAAACCATGGTTTCCTGATGTTTCCTGTAGATTGACCCTAAAACATTGGTAAACATTGAACACATGATCCCAAACACCGCGTTGCGGTGCAAGTCTAGTGACCCAGGGACCGACGTCCAACCCCTGGTTGGTACGAGTGTTGGGGGATGTTGGGGAACTCGGGATTGATCAATACAACCATCGCGATGTCCCGGAGTCGATTGACTCAGAACTCCATCGGAAAATCACATGGATATGTCTTCCAGTCGTGAATGTGGTTCCCAAAGAGTTCGTCACACTGGTTTGGGTTTAAAAGCAAGTCACTGCTTGTATACCTAGCTTGCACTTCTGGCTCAAGTACTCATCCCCTCCAGTGCCCCATGGCCACGTGTAGCTTCCGGGTGGGTTTTGACACATCATCCTCTCTCATTCTGTTCAGAAGCCGGGTGTAGTCGTCCACCTTCACTGGACCGCACCACATGGACCGACCCCGGCTCGATCAGTTCTTGCTTCAACCTGACGTTCCGTCTCGTCCCGACGCCCGGACGGGCTCGTCCCCCGCAACTTCTTGTTCCTAATGGCTTCTTGTTCCTAGTAGTAAGGCCCTTGTTACTAGTAGCGATGCACTTGTTCCTAGTAGCTTCTTGTTCCTAAGGCGCTCCTTGGCTTTGGCACCGGCGCGTGCTTTGGCCGCCACCCATGCAGGGATCCTCGTCGGCCGCGTCGCGGAACGGTCGTGAAGCGAATTGGGGGTTCCGACGGGAGGAGGACCCGGCGGTCTGCCACGTGGGCTTTCCGGTCCGGCTTGCTTCCAACGGAAGGTGCCTTCTTGTTGTGTTTGGGTTGGGGTGCCACATCCACATCCAAGATCGCCGGGTGAAAACGGCAAACCACGAGTCGGAATGGAACTGTTGGGGAGGTAACTCTTCTATATGGCTTCGTACCTTAAGCGCATATATGTGAGCTTTCTCAAAGCGGAACCTCGTCGTTTGGATCGTTTTGGTGGCTTGCTTGCGATCGGACAAACGGGCCACGACCCACCCTCCAAGTGTCTTTGGGAAAAAAAACAACAAAACATCACATGGAGGGGTCGCTTGGTTTTTACGATCGCAAAAACCATAAACAGGTGGAAGGAATTCACAAAACAACAGCACCAACACTTCTATACGCATGCTTCCATTTTGGACTCCGTGTGCCACTTCTAGTCTGGTGCAAAGTACCTCGAATTGAATGTGACCTTCTCGATTCTCTTACATTGATACAAAGCTTCAATTCCATACGTTCAACACTGCCCATGCCTTCCCCTACAAGTCTTGTACGTCTTGTGCAGTAAAACTTTGCTCATCCACCCCGTGTATTATCTACAGGGATTCCGCTTGGGAGCAGCCACAGCCTGAGTCACTCTAGAATTTGCTAATTTATAATCACTTACAGGCTCTAGAAGCAGTATTGAGGATCATCGAGATATACTTGTGTTGTGGGTCCGCCAGCTCTTGCTATCATTTCGGCACTTGCACAAAATAAAGTCTGCACAGTAGAGGCATGCCATGCACTCCCAATATGTTCACAAATAAACATTCAACACGGCCAATGGATCAAAGGGCCAATCTGGAAACTCCTCCCTGAAATTACACACCTCTATTTCAAGGGTTAAAACTGTCATGTCACTCAATTTGGTCAGTGACCTTTCCCCACACTTCATCCTTCCCCCATCCATTCACATCGGTCACCCTGCTTCGGTGGCATCACGCCGAGAGGGTCCGGCCCAACGATCACGGGCTCCGAAAACGGGCTGCCGCGGGTGAACGGCGAGGCATGACGGGCGTTGCTTTCCGTGGAGGCGCGCGCAGACTCGGGGCCATGAATGGTTTTGGCGCTGCGGGCTGGGTGGGTCCATTCCAGGATTAAATTGAGATCGACTCAAAGTGTATTGAGATGTACAGATCTTGAAACTATCATGGAAGGAACAGTTTGGCCCCTGGAAGGACCAGTTTCCTCTGCATGCCGCGATCGGCAACCCTCAACGCGTATCAAAACGTGTGTTTATGAAAGAGAAAACACAACATCAGCCAGCATATGCTAGCATCAGCAGCATCACCCCCCCAGACATTCTGGTATCCTGGTATAGCCTTGTTGACATGTTCAACGAGCCGATGAAATCCATGTTCGGGTATGAACAGAGACAGCAAAAAGAAGAAACATCAAAATCCTTACGCTTGGGACCTTTGGGCATCAATTTCTAGGGCCTAGGGATCACCATCTCTTCTAAGATCTGAGAAAGAAAGCCAAAGGAAAGCCACCCAGCTCTTAGATTATGATCAAATCATTTGACAGCAATATCTCTCCCCCAGCCTCCTCCGCGGATGAACCCGGGAATGGTTATTTGGCGATCCGCACTCTCCGCACTCTGCGCCTCCTCACGCCATTGGGTCTCCTTCTTGGCCAGCTCACTTTGCAGTCGCCGCCTCAACCGCGTCGTGACCGGACCGGGCGCGTGACCGCGGGACGCTCCTGAGGACCGGGCGGGGTGTCTGCTCGGATCCAATTCATCCGGAAAAGATGTGGAGCGCTGGTGGTGCACTCCCCCATTTTGACACTAGAATCATCTAGACATCTCTGGACTTGATCATGAAGGGTGAGCAGCACCAAAGACCCATGTTCATTGATTAGTTTCTGTGAAGGCCACTCAAAGGTGACCAAATGTGATCACAAAGCCGACTCGCCCATCAAAGCGGACTCGCCTGATTCCTTCACCTGATTTTGCCACATCCGCGTCCCAGGGGGTTCACTTTCCACAGTACCCATCTTAATTGAGGCTTGCGACAGGTACCCAGTTCCTGACGACAGCGAAGTCCAGTTCCGGGGTCCCTTCTAGAATCCACCATGATTCCAAGCAGTAGGCCGGTCAAAAAGGGCTGCCACTCGTCTGTTGTCACCCAGCACTTGACCTTGAGCACTGCCCACAGCCACATCTCCGCTTGCAGATTCGGAGCCCGGAGTCCATGGTCCGACTGCCCAGTGTCACCGACTCGGTGCAGCCCAGTGAATTCTCAGTCCACTTTGGAGTTGGAACCTGTCCGGTTGAGCTGTGTCCGTCCCGAGCCAATGCTGATGCCTCAGTGAGCAAACCTTGGGAGCCGAAATGGTGGCTGCGAATGGGTGACAAAGCTTTCGCATTCTTGACCTCGCGGAAACTCGCTTGATTGCTGGGCAGGCAGCAGCCAGAACCTGGAGACCAGGCTCTTCTGGATGTCCGCACGGAACTTCTTCCAGTGCCATCTAACATCTAATCAATGCTCACTCTGCGACGCAGAAGCCTCTTCCTTTTGCTGTACCATCTGTACCTTGAACACTTTGCAGTCGGCTATCTGTAGATCCAGACCTGGAGGAGATGGCGGATCAATCTCTGGACCCGACCGGAAGCTCCGGCCTCAAACCATGACCTTTAACCACAAGAAGCTCGAAGCTTTGGAGCTTTGTGAGACATTGTTCCGATCCTTTGCGGCTTTGGACCAATCATGGGAGAATCCCCCAACAAATCCTGCCGTCTGATCAAGAAATTGCTCTTATCATCAAATACTCTGACACTTCATATGATTAATGTGGACCCTTGATCAATAACCCACCATTAACCCACCAACCTGAATTGTGAAGCCTCTCTTCATAATTGTTGATTGACTCTCATCAGGAGTCTCTATGACTTCTACCGATAATCATGGCACCTTCCCGGAATCCGGATCTCAGGTGCCCACTCCCACTCTTCGATTTGCTCCGCATGTTGCCGCCGCTCGTCTTCCAAGGCCTACCGAGCGCAAGAAGACGTTGCCGCCGCGCCACTTCGTCACTGAAGGGTTTTGTGCTAACTGGGTGGTGGTGGTGCGGTTTCGGTTCCAACGAAGTCACCAAAGCAATCAAGTGCTTTGACAGGGTTTGGGGGAACTCCCCCAAAAGGCCCCGGCCTCCCTGTCGAATAATGTGTCTATATATATTTATATAATAATGTATATATAATATATATAGATATCCCCGCTCATGGATGCAAACTCGAAGTTCGCGGATCCAAAGTGCATCCAAATCTGCACTGCTGCTCTTCTTCATGCGAGGATCACTAAATCACAGTACACCCGCGATCCCGGACTGCTTACCGCTAGGTGCGGGGTGCTCACCAATCGTTTTGGTTGCTTCGAAGATAAAGTTATATAGGTTGGAGGCCAACGCTAGTAGATTAGAGGCCATCGCTCCATCGCTAGTAGGTTGGAGGCCATCGCTAGTAGCTTAGAGGCCATCGCTAGTAGCTTAGAGGCCATCGCTAGTATAAATGATTGAATTATTGACAGAATCATACAGAATCACAGTCCCGTCATGCTCATGCCGAGCTACGCTCATCCTCACTCATCCTCAGCCGCAAGTAGCTGCGGCCTTCTCGAGCTCCGCGGAGGCCAAACGGCAGCGGTGGAGTTCATCGGCCCAGAGTCTCCGGTGGTAGTTCAGCGCCTGACGAGCTGGGAGCGGGTGGGGGCCTCGCCTGACTTGGGTGGAGGCCATCGCTATTAGGTTGGAGGCCATTGCTATACTAGTAGCAAGGACGCTGCTGGCTCGAGCGAGTACGTTCGGGGCCGAAGCGAATCGGGGAAAACGGATGGATGGCAGAAAAGGCGAGGAAGTGGGTCAGACCATCTTGCGAAGAGCGAACAGGGTGTTTTTTCAACTCCAAGTCCATGTTGATACATGTCAGAGAAAGCCTTGCGCCCGAGTTGGATGTTGCTGAAAAGAGAAGGTGTGTTGAAGTAGGATTGGTCTTTGGACACCCTTGCTGACAAAGACATGTATCTTAAAAGAAGTCAAAAACCTTCCACACCATCAAAATAGACATGAGCCAACCCCAGAGACAGCGAAGCTTGGATTTCTCCGTGCGAATGCCGCTGCGAATGCCGCTGGCTCCCCACTCCAAACTCATCCACCGGACGTCCATCCTTTTAGAATTGCCTCCTTCAAGCCACTTTGGATTTGCTTCTGCTGCTCCTGGCCGGAACTTCAGTGGTGCCAAGCCACTATAATATGTAAAACATGCACAGTCTATAGTCCTCACCAACAAAACCTGCATTTGGATGCATTTCGGATTTGTATGGATTTGTGATCTATGCCCACATCGCATGGCTCGTATGTGCAACCAAGCCAGTGGAAGATCATGGAGCATCAATGAACCTTAACGGCCAAATATGACAATGAATCTTAACGGCCAAATATGACGCGCTGTGAGTCACAGCAGCCTCTTGCCCTTGATCCATTGGTTGGAACAGGCACCCTCTCGAATTTTAACATGGACCCTGACACTGGCTACCTGGAAGATTGTTTTCCTCTACCAACCAGTGGTCCATGTTAGTCTTCCAGGGTGTACACGCGGTTGGGGACAAAAATGCTGAATAACATGTCGCAGGATTGGCTCCAACGTCGCATTGAAACCAAGTTTCGCATTGTGGATAAAGGATTGATTAAGACTGCAATGTCATAAACTCACTTCGATTTTACGATTTCACAAAGTATCCAGGGACTTCACCTTCACAAAATGCTACACAAACTTGGGAGCGTAGCTTTATACGATCGAAGTGTGAATAAAGCACATTGTCTGCTGGTGGTTTGTCAGTGTTGATTTGGAGAGGTTCATGTGAGCAGTTACACAATGCAGAAAAAAACTGCGTATCTAGACTCTATAGACCGCGAAATGCTTGGATGATAGCAATGATGCAAGCTTTATTGGGATAGTATGGTCTCACGGGCCTCCAACGAAGGTAGATTGGACTCCCGGCAGCAAGCTCAGAATTGTTTTGATCGACAAAAACCTTGCCCAAAAGCATGGTACGTCTGCTTGTCCACGGCAGTCTATAACAAGTATCATGTTGTAAAAGTGTCGTAAGTAAGCACAAAGGCAAGCTCATACCATTTCAACCTGCAAGGGTCTGATTCATAGAGAGGGGTCTTGCAACTGAGCATAAAGGGCATCCTTATCTACTTTACGAATTTTGGCAGCAAAGAAGTCGATTCAACTGGAGCAAATACTGGTAAAAAGAACAATTTGCTATGATCTGCTGACACTTCTGCTGACACGGATAACCCTTACGGCCTGCAGTGCCAGGCATTCGAGGACCTCGTGCCTGCCGTGTCTGAGGAATCGATCTGTTGCCATGTTGCGTATCCAGCCATCAGTGGCTGGTAACCAGTGGCGATAGGTTCCGGTTTGACTGGTTCGTATGTGAACGTGCTACAGTATCTATGTGCGAGTTCGATGTGCGAGTTCCGCCTACCCAAGATTTCGGGGCCAGGCGACCACTGCTTCCCTTCCCGTGTGAGGGGCCGGTGTCCTCCAGCTCTTCGAGTTGTTGCTTCAACTTGGATTGGTCCTCAATGGCACTGGATCACTCAATGGCAGGCAGGTGAAGTCATGGAAGAGTGAACAAATCCACCGGTCTCAAGAAAGGACTATCAAAGCACTTTTAAGTACGAATTACTCCGGGTGATGACCAAATGGATCATTGAAGCAAACAAATAGAATCACCGAATAAGAGAACTCCTTCTTAGTTATGAAGGGGGATGAACCGAGGCCATCGCGCCCAGCGAGGAGCTTGAGTCCGTGGCGCTCAGTGGCGCTCAGTGGACCCACCGAGGTTTCCACCGGTCTCCTGGCCCCCCTCCGTTTCGCTTCGGTGGTTAGGGTGGGTGCGAGGTCGAAACATCGAAGCTGAGGATATGGGACAGGAGCTCTTAGGGAAGAATACGAGCCAGGTGGCTGACAAATCATCGCAAGTGTGAAGTAACCTCTTAGGTAGTCTCTTGCGCACGCCGGAGAACATAAGTCTGAGGAACTGCAGACTAGTAACCTCTTAGGTAATACTGTCGTGTCAACAAAACCGTGGGCACCCTGAAAGGAAAAACCTGCTACAGGTTGAAAGGCCCAGTTTCCCAATCGACCCACCGAGTAAACGACCCGTTCCCCAGTAGTTACAGTTGGTTTTGTCCGAAGTCGAATATGATAACATATTAAACCAACGGGCCATGTAAAACCCATGTCCATGGAAGAACATCATCGTTCCTGTCTGGGTTAGAACCAACATGAAGCAACTGAAGTTGCTGGCTTCACACTTCGAAGTAACAAGCGCGTCCACAATCCTCGCAGTTTTCGCAGTCCTGTGTATTTCCAGGGGAGCGGAACTCGCTTGCAACACTGGCACTGGCAGCATCAAAACAGCCGGACCGAGTGTCGAATTCATACGGCAAGGAACTTGGAAAGTCCAGGGCCCAAAGACTCCATAGGACTGGAAGAGTTACTGTACATATCATATTCATGATACGGTATATTACAGTCATTACAGTCATGTTCACAGGGACGGGGTAAATGTACTATGTAAACTATTCCAGTCCCATTTTGTGTCGAAGAGAATCTTGAGGAGCCGGGGTTGTCTTGTTGAACAAACAATATGCTTGGCTACTTGCAGCATCAACTCTACTCAGCCTTGTCTGATATGAACTCACAAAAAAAAAAAAACACATCCTCAAGAGAACTGAACAGCATCTATACAATGCTATATAACTAATGCTATACTTATGTCACTATATAGTTCTACTATGTTCTATATATAGATACATCTCCCTTTCGTCCCTTTGCACCGGCCACGGCCATGACACGGTCTGGCGACATGTCCCACGCTTGGAACATGAGGAGGACGTGTGTCGCGCTCCTCTAAGAAATCCGCATGAGCTGGATGGCAAGTTCCCATGACAGGGGTTTGGGATATTTGTTTTTGACCCAACGATGCACAAGTGCTTGTGGAATCTTGTGTGATATTGTGCCACCTAGACGTCATCGGCGTCTTTTCATCGGTCACACACCTCTGGACCCCACTAAGCGACTAAATAACTGTGAAAGCATTGGAGAAAGGGAGATGGTTCAAAATTGGATTGAGGCCCCTCACCATCGCAGTGTCCACATGACCTTTTCATCAGCAACAGTTTTGAAGTCCCATCCTCTCAGCTAATCAGATCGGTCTTTCACCACAAACCAGGCTGTTTCAAAGGCAAAATCAACTGTCGATCTTGGAACACAGAGGTTCTTTGGTTGTCCTGAAGACGGGAGAAACCCAAGCCACGAACCAAACGCAATGGAAAACAGCCTATTATATACCAAAGACTTATGTATGGAATAGTTACCTACATTCGGTCATAAGCGGTGTAAGTGTACTGTAACTAGTCCAGTCCCATGCAGTGTCTGGGTATATGTAATCTTTCTGATGACTGGTAACTCGTCCAACACCGACCACCATATGGTCGTCGGCCCCCAATGAAAAACCATTCGACCACCGCTGGCACCTAGGGCTCATAAAGCGCGGATCTCCTGTAGCACGTGGGACGGCTGAAAGCGTGGGACTCCTTCCGATCGATCCCTCGAACGCTCCTTGGAGCATCCAAGGAATGGAGTAGACACGAGGGGCCATCAAAACCATGTCCATTGGAAGGTCCGGATGAATTACACGGTACGTGTGATAGATTATAGATCTCTCGAAGTACCAGGAGGTCCTGAATTCCAGGCTTGCTGCATGCTGCTCCGTCAGAATGAGTGAAGCATGGGCATTGGGATGCCCTGAAAAAGCACCCGCCCCCGGTCTTTGGTACCGGAGTCCAGTAACCCCAGTGCCAGGGGGAGGGGGAACTTGCATTCAGAACAGGGACCTATAAGGGCAAGCGCTGCGCCCCGCCCAAAACATGCGCCTTCCCTGCCGCGCTGCTACACCGGGCGACTTGGACCCTCCAAATGCTTTGGAGAGGCCAAAGAGAAACCAACGAACCATACAAACCAATGCAGGCATATGTTTCAAGTGATGTTCGCTTCTTGGATTCTTTGCATACTCTCAAGAGAGCCCCTTGGATTGAACATGTTCGGAGTACCAAACAAATGGTGCCATCCGGTGCTATACACTTCCACTTATAGGGACTTACACTATCTTACACTCATTCTGTTCTTGCATTTCGTACCTAAAACGTTCTGATCATTAAAGGACGCTGCTAGGGGCTCCTGGCCTTATAACTACTAGGAGCAAGGACGCTCCTAGTAGCTCCTGGCCTTACTTTTAGGAGCAAGAAGCTACTAGGAGCAAAGGACATCGCTACTATTCACATGGATCGCTTGGTCTTTAGAGGCCAAGGGACCCAGGGACCCTCCGTTGGTGTCGCCATGCCACGTCACTCATTCATCGGCCACCCTCCTGATGGTGTTGCCGTGCTGGTGGACGTGCTGGGGGTCGCAACTGCGACCTCCTCCTGGCTTCGGAAAACGGGGTCCCCAAAACAGGAAGACGTGGCACGATGTCTATTCTATCTATTGTGGGGTCTATTATCAGTCTATATGTCTATACCCTGGGCTTCCCTCAACACTTCAAACAAAAGACGTTGATATA